TCCTCCTCCTCCTCCCTTCTCCTCCTCCTCCTCCTCCTCCTCCTCCACCAGAAGTAGAGAACACTTTCATTGTAATCCATCTTTCATTCCTTGTTTTGGTGTTTTACTTGTTTGTGTGCGTTCTGTTGTTTTACTCGTTTGTGTGTTGGTGGTTGGCGGGTGCTCTGGTGTAGTTTGTTCCTTCGTTTGTGTCAAGTATCTGTAATCCTCATCTCTGCTCTTCCTTTTTTTTTTGGTGTATGTTACTCACTTGCAATGCAACGCCTCTATTTTTCAGCCCTTGTATGACCTAATTTCTTTTCAAGTGCTGTGTGGGTGGTTGGCGGGTGCTCTGGTGTGCTTTGCTTCTTCTTTCCTATCAAACATCTCTCGTTCTTATCTCCCCTCTTCTTCTTTTTTATGTTTGTTACTTTCTTGTAACACATCTAATCTTCTGGCACTCATATGACCTTATGCAGTTGCGAGTGCCATAAAACCCCTACTGAAACTAAAACTGTTGTTTAGCAAGTGCTGTAAAACATTTACTAACAAACTTATTCGCATCTGTTTTTGTCCAGGATGAAGGGTCTCCAACGGCAGCGTCGCGGCTTCAAGTTCCACGAGAAGGGAAAGTTTGAGCAGCAAGCCTCAAGGCTCAGAGCTAAGGTGGGTCAAAGGTCGAAAAGTGAAGGTCAATTTGATAAGAGTGTTGTTTTCTTGTGTCTCGAACGTTTTAGGATGTTTTTGGTTTCGTTTCATATTTTCAAATAAAAGTAAACAACTTTTTCTTTCATATGATGTGTCATATTTTGAGGTGTGTTTGGTTTGACGAAACATATTGCCAAACTAGGGCGCCGGTTTTCTCATTTTCATATTTCAGCACCTTTTAGTCATAAAGTTTCCTCCTTATTTTCATCTAATGTTTTACGATTGACTTTTCATCTTTTAGTTATGTTGTTAGGAAAAGGTAATAGTTTTTGTAATAGTTCAGTGAGATTAACTAGACTTATGAAATTTCCGACTTATTTCTGATTTTGATTGGCCCCGACCCAAGATAGTTTTTGAAAACAGTATCAATTAACTTAACTGAAGTGGAATTTCTGACTTATGTCTCATTTTGGCTGGCAAATACATGTGGACAGTTTTTGACAAAAATATTGACTCAGTTTGTGGACTATTGACTGGTGCTGACAAATGGATAGTTTTTTACCGTAATATTAACTTAATTTGTGAAACTTTCAAATTATTCTTACTTTTATCCAATATTGACTGGCACTGACACATGTATAGTTGTTGACAATATTTACTCAATTTGTGAGATGTCTGACATATGTCCAATTTTCACCGGCGCTGACACATGGATAGTTTTTTACAATAATATTAACTCAGTTTGTGAAACTTCCGACTTATTTCCTACTTTTGTCCTATTTTGACTGGCGCTGACACATGGATAGTTTTTAACAGCAATATTAACTCAATTGGTGAAACTTCCGATTTATTCCTACTCGGGACACATGGATAGTTCTTTACAGCAATATTTACTCAATTGGTGAAACATCCAACTTATTCCTACTTGTGTGGGTGGTTGGTGGGTGCTCTGGTGTGGTTTGCATCTTCTTTGGTCCTTATGTCCCCTTCTTCTTTTTTATGTTTGTTACTCTCTTGTAACACCTCTAATCTTCTGGCGCTCATATGACCTTATGCAGTTGCTAGCACCGTAAAACCTCTACTAAACTAAAGCTTATTCCTACTTGTGTCCGATTTTGACTGGCGCTGACACATGTAAATTTTTCTCTGCTTTTAGGCCCAGCTGGAGAGACTGCAGACAGAGATAGCACAGGCAGCCAAGAAGACTGGAATCGCCTCTGCTGCCAAAATTGCCACGATTACGCCCAAGAAAGAAATTGTAAGTGTTTTCTTCACGGGCTTTTAGCTCATTAAGGGCCTGCGTTCTGGTCATTGGGCAAAGATTGAAGATAGACAGATGAGACAGGTCGATAGATAGACGGGTAGATAGATAGACAGACAGACAGACAGGTAGATTGGTAGGTAGATAGACAGACGGATAGACAGACAGACAGACAAATAGACAGAAGTATCGATAGGTAGATAGACTGAAAGATAGATGGATAATTAGAGGAACAGTATTCGTCATTACGGTCCCCAGACAAGACTAGCATCATTAGCCATAGCATGCAGCGCCTTACTTACTGAGCTGCATAAGAGAAAAAAAAGTTTGAACAGAGCTCGTCATACGTGAGGCGTGCTGACAAAATGGGTTACTTTTCGCAATCCACAAATGGAGACGTTGGCCAAAAATAGGTACTAGGATCAAACTTGTACATTTTTTATTGTCATATTCTTAATAAAGTGCCTTTAATTATTTCACACCTATAAATTGTAAAAACTTCACCTATAAGTGTGATGTATCTATTTCCATAGGGCTTGCATCCGAGAAGTAACTTGCGCTTCACATATAGATCATAAACCGGTGAAAAGAACGAGGCACCAAGATTACTCTATACTCTATACCTGTTGAAATTTCTTCTTTTTTTTTTTTTTTCTTCCCTGCGGGTGGTTGGCGGGTGCTCTGGTGTAGCTTGCTCCTTCTTTGCCATGAAGCGTCTGTCATCTTTATCTCTTCTTTTTTTTTTTTGTGCTTGTTACTCTCTTGTAACAACACCTCTAATCTTCAGTGGGTGGCTGGCGGGTGCTCTAGTGTGGTTTGCTCCTTCTTTCAGATGAAAAATTTATTGTCCTTGTCTCTTTCTTTTTTTTTCTTTTTTTTTGTTTGTCCTTGTCTCTCCTCCTTCATTTTTCTGTTTGTTACTCTCTTGTAACACATCTAATCTTCGACACCTATATGACCTAACTGTGTCGCAAGTGTCGTGAAATACATAATAAAAGACGGAAACTTTTCTTCCCATTGCAGAAAGAAGGCGAGGTCCCTGATGTGGAATGGTGGGATACGTTCATCATGAGAGGAGGAACGTAAGTATCCCTGTTGTTGCTTAGTTTTGTTGTGTGTGGGAGTGGGACGGGATGGGGGTTGGGGGGTGTTGTGTGTGTGGGAAGAGGGTTTGGTATGATAAATGAGTGTGTGTGTGTGTGTTTGTGTGTGTGGGAGTGGGGCGGGATGGGGGTTGGGGGGTGTTGTGTGTGTGGGTAGA